AAAAATAACGAACACGAAAATTCCAAGTATCTCTCTCAATTGTCAATGAAAATGAAAACTGTAAGAAGTGTGAGAATCAGAAGGGTGAATAGAGTAGAGTATGGATTTATTTGGTTCAATTTGGTTGAGAATTCTACCTAAAGGAAGTAGTAGAAAATTGCTCTAAAACTGGACATGGCTAGCACGATTTAGGACACTTCAAGGCTTGGTTCTTCTTCTGTTAGCTTTAGTGAAGTTCAAGGATAAAGAATCAATAAAGAAATTGGATTGAAAAGTGGAAAAAAGATGAATTCGAAAACTCAGAAAAGTGGGTTATACAGAGAGTTTGGCAGGGTAATTTTGGTTGTCCAAGCTTGAGAAAATGAGAGGAGTGAGGTCCTCTATTTATAGGGAAGTGAATGGTGCAAAGAATTGAGAGGAAAATTGAAGTTTGGAGGGAAATTGGATGGAGCCCGAAAGTGGAAAATGTGTGACTCCATGTGCATCAAAATTCAGCCAATTCATGCGTTTTGATCCTTAATTCAACTTCGGGAACTTTGTTAAACATGTTTAAATCAAAAACACGCGCTAATTTAGTGTTTAGAAGCTGGATTATGGATTTCAAATTCTGACTTGGAAGAAAAAATCAATTTCAAGTAGCTGACTTTGAACACATGGTGTGCACGATTTAGGAAACCTTAGGACTTGATTCTTGATGCATTGGAAATATGAGGTAATATTATTTATAATGTACCAAGAAAGATATCATTTGGATGCTTGATCTAGAAGTTGTGCTTGGTCAAAATCAGGAAAAATGTGATGACTTTTATACTTAGAAAAATTATAAGTTTTTTCTTCAAAAATGACCTATAATTGTTTGATTCCAAACAAGGTATTCTTCCAAAAAAATTCTTTGATAAATGATGCTAGCTTGAAGTGGACTCTTTAAAGAGTATTGTGAAACTTTTATCACTCAAAAATTCCAAATATTGGATAAGTTATGATCCTTTGAATTTGAGGAAAATCCATGATGTGACCTATAATCTTTTGAGCTCTTAAGGCATCTTTCTAACCATTTTCAAGTTTTGCACATAAAAAAAGAGTTGAAGTTCACACTCTTAAGATCATTTTTGAAAAATAACGGGCTCAAGGAGATAAAAATTAATCAAGTTATGACCCTTTGAAGTCACATAAGGGAATTTGATGGCCTATCTAGAGGACTTGTAATCTTTCTCAATCATTAGTGATCTTTCACACAAAATTTGGTTGAAACTTTTGAAGTGATTTGTTGATAACCCTTTAAAGAGAAGCATATCTTTGTAATCACTCAAAAATCTCAAAAGATGGACAAGATATATCCCTTAGAAGTCCAAAATCCTAACTCCTAGAGCATCAAAATGGCTTGGGAAACCCTTTCAATTTTGGAAACCTTTCTTGTACAAATACTTTTGCTATGTGAAGAGAAGTTGTTGTGGATGATAATAAGAACCTATAGCAATAATAACCACTTCCAAATGTTGAGAATTGAGGGATTTATACACTTGTGATCAAGGAATCAAGAACTTGTCCAATTAGGTCAAACTTCTTTAATCAAATCTTGCATCTTTTGACTTTCTTTGGCAAATTGAAGCATGATTGACCATAGTAGATCTTGCCATGACATTGCTTTAAAGCACACTCAATGATGAAGCTCAGATCCCAATGAAGCTTTATTTAAGAAAGTATAGAAATAAACTCATGAACCTATGAATCACCCTGATGAAATGTGTTGTGCCCTCACCTATAGTATCATCATTTATAGAGCAAACATTCATTATATTGGTTAGTTAAAAAGTCAATCAACACAAGACATATATGACCATAATATACAAATCAAAGTGCTTGGTGATCCCTCATGAGAAAACCTAAAGATAGGGAGAATGACCAAACCCTAGTGTGATCTTGGTATGATTGGGTTAATATGAGATGATAGAGGAATCTTAGGGGCAAAAATTGTGTTATAATAGGTAAGGTTATGATCGTCTGGAAGAGACGAATCCAATGATACCGATTTGAGCTTTTAACGATTTCGTTTGAAGAATCTCATAAAAACCCGACGCACAGAGGTCTGGAGGTTGAAGACGACATACGTATCGTTCTTCAACCAATGATAGCGTGATAGTTATTTTATTTTGATTGGCCCGAATTTGTTTGATTTTGTGTGTTTCTCACTAAGGTCCATATCAAGCATAACACGTCGGGTCCTTTAGATTTGTTTACTAACGCGTTTTGACTATGATCGATGGCCCATATTATTTTGACATTATTTTTATTTTCTGATTTTTTGATTTAACTGTTTTAAACTTAAAAAATTAATAAAAAATTAATTTCGACTTCCAAAATTCTGAAAAAATTCTCAAAAAATTCTCAAAAATAATTTTGATTTTTATCTTTTTGATTCTTATTTTTTCACAATTTTATTTTATGATATGGTATTTTTTTATGATTTTTCACTTCATTTGAACTGTTTTAATTTTTAAAAATACTTTTCTTGATTTTTAAATTATGGAAAAAATATGGAAGGATCCAATGACCTCTTGGCAAATATTGGTGACCTAATTTTATTTTTATTTCTGATTTTACTATTTTTCATAATTTTTGGTTTATTTCGCTTATTTCTTTGAATTTTAAAAAATAGTTTATGACTTTAAAAAATTCTGAAAATTTTTTGTCAACACTTATTGACTCATGGTTGACCTATGACTATTCTTTGTGATTTTTATTTAGCGTTTTAATATACTTTGTATATTTTACCAATTATTTCACTTTTATTAATTATTTTAAATTTTATTTTATTGAATATTATTTTATTATTTTTGTTTGGTCCTGATTTGGGTGTTACTTTAGGACAAGTTCCTCAACCTCATTGGATCTTGGGTGTTAATAGGTTGAAAAACTAAATCCACCAAAATAGATGAATGATGTTGATGATATTTGAAATCCTAAATTTCATCTGATACATCCCCTCCCTCTTCATCTTATCCCTTACTTACTTGTGCTACATGTTGTTGGAGAATAATCAATATATCATTTCTCTAACATATGGTACATAGATTTCTATTGACCGGCCTCAAAATATGTGTGACTTCTACATAAGTCCACTTACGATTGCTTAACATAACACTAAATTTGTCCCGATTCAAAAAAATGATCATTCGTGGCCCAAACCTATGTTTGCAAGCCCAAGTATATTTAATTTGAAACCTTTGGTCCAATAACCTTAAGGTTTATTGTTAGGAGACTTTGATCTTATCAATCCTCTAATGAACATTCATTATTTTTGGTCTAAGTGAATCAGTTAAACATCATTGATCATATATGCTTGCCTTGAGTACTTGAAATGAATGATTTACTTGACAAAAAGCAAATGAAACTTATTATTGGAAAGCTTTGACTTTATCAATATTCTAATGAGTTTTCAAATGCAAGTTTCAAGATGATCATTCAACTAACCTCTAACTTATAATTCCTTAAGACTTTTCTCACTTGAGCTTTCATTTTCTTTTTGAAGACACTTAAAAAAGCCTTAAGGTTATTTGGACTATTTGGTTACTATCCTTGGCATAATAGAGTTGTGGACCTCTTGGACTTAGGATTAGAAGCCTTAATACTTTGGGACCTTATGACTCTGTTGTTACTTTGTCTGAAGTTCTTGGGGTTTACTCCATGACATTAGGTTGATTCTTTTTGTGTGCATGTTTTTTTAGTATGTTCTTTGTCTGTGATTAGATATTCCTCTGTATACAGTCGTTACTCTGCCCAATTTTTGTGAAGACTTCATTCCTTTGAAGCTTGGTATTCATAAGTGTTGCGGTAAAATTAATGAAGTCGCTACCGAGTATTTATTTATCCCACGTAAAGGGAAAGGAAAATCATCAAAGAAAAACCTGAAGGGAGGAATCAAGGTCTTGCCACTAAGAGATCGGGTACAAGAGTCGATTACACAAGAGGAAGGTATTAACACCCCTCACGTATGTAGTACTCTACGGGATCCACTCTTGTTATTATAATTAAATGGTGTGTTTAATCTAATGCTTAAGAGATAAAAAATGCTAAGAGATAGTGCATGCAAAGAAAACACGGGGAAAAGAAGGAATATTTACAAATTTTAGCTCGGCTGAGCCCCGTGACCAGATGCCTACGTATCTCTTTTAAGAAATCAGAGCGCCGTAGTGCAGCTTACAAATTTTTATTTGTTTGTATTGTTTAAATGAACAATGTTAAACTCAACCATTCCACCATCGCTCAACCATTGGAGACTCATGCACTGTAGTGGGAAGGAATCAACACGTTCTTAGAAGAGAAAAGCCGAAAGGCGAAAAGAAATGAATTGATTGGTGTTTTTTACAATGAAAAGGGTTTTTGTGTGTTTAGCATGTTTTATACATTTTCCAAGAAAAATAAGTTTTAGTTTTAAATACAATTATGTAAAATGGGAAGAAAAAACACCTAAGAGAGACTAACTTATCTCTAACCCAGTGTTATCATACAATGAAGGCCCTATGTCAAGGATGAAAAGGGAAATCTCTACCCTATGTTAGCATGTAAAGATCAAAGTTTTTATCTCAATTCTAATTGAGTGACATCATCGATCATCAACAAAGAAACGAGAATCCTATGGGGAACATGCAAAGATCGAAGTTGTTATGTCAATTATAATTGAGTGACATCATCGATCATCAACAAAGAAAAGAGAATCCAAAGGGGAGCATGCAAAGATCAAAGTCGTTATCTCAATTCTAATTTAGTGACATCATTGATCGTCAACAAAGGAAAGTGAAAATCCTAAGGGAAGCATGTAAAGATTGAAGTCATGATCTCAATTCTAATTGAGTGACATCATCGATCATCAACAAAGGAAAGTGAAAATCCTAAGGGGGGCATGCAAAGATCAAATTCGTGATCTCAATTCTAATTGAGTGACATCATCAATCGTCAAAACATGAAAACCAACACAAACACAATTAACAAACAAGTGCAGAATGCCTGCTACAGGTCTTTAAACAACGACTTCGAGCGCACGCTCTTTATTTCCTACTTCTCATGATATCTAGAAAGCAATGAAATGTGGAAAGATAAATTGGAAGCAGCATAATACCAAACGAACAATAATATTCTTAAAAGTGCAACCAAAGCAAAGAAACCCAGAATACTTCGCGCGAGCTAGCATCAACAAATAAACAATTAGAGATGGAATGCTCGAAATAAGTGTCGAGACATCGTCGATGTGAAAATAAATCACAATCGAAAACTCAAGCGTATTCACATATCACACAATAAACATGCATAAGGCTCAAATCTCGACAAGCAAAAGTGAATCACAAGCCTCAAGTAATAAAAAAATGAATTAATTCCTAGAATCAATAAAAAAACTAACAAATTTTTATTGATTTTTGTAATCTTTTATCATAGAAAAATATAGAAAAATCAAGAGAAAGTCTTAAATTCTACGTATTTTTTTATTGCCTTTTTATCACCAAAATTTTTATTAAGAAAAAAATTAGAAGAAAATTAAACTAAAAAACTAAATAAAAAAGAAAGAAATGGGAATAGTTAGAGGATGTAAAGCTGAATCAGGGTATAGTGAAAATGAGTCAAGGCCAGGCGCTAGGCCCATGTGAAGAGTCCAGGGAGTGGTCTTTTTACTCAATCATCCAGCATAGAAAAAAACGAGAATGGACCCAAGGAGGACCGGTTTGGTCCGGCCCACTCCAATTCTCACCAATTTTTTGTTATCTCCAAATTTTTATTATCAAATTGCTATCAATGTGTAGCTTATCAAAATATACGAAAATGTATAAAATAAATAAATTAAAAAAATGCAAATAAAATAGAAAAGGGTTTAGAAATTATGACATTCCCAATTCCATCACAGACTCTCCATCTTCTTCAAACGGTGGTGCTTCTCGAATCTTTCCTCCAATCTCAAATCTTCGTCGCGAACATTATCATCCTCAACGTTCTCTGCATGTCTCAAGGTGTTCACATCCTCTCCGAGTCAATCCGTCGCCATCATCTCTCCTCCGATTCAAACTCCGGCTCCCATCAATCGGCCTTCGACACCTCACAGTGACTTCATCCTCTCCATTGATCTCTCTGTTCACCGATCTTTGTCTGCACCGTTACAATTCCTTCGATGTTCTTCTTCTTCTTTGTTCTTCTTTCGCTTACTCATGAAAATTGCATTTCTGCTTATAAATTGATATGCGTGTTGTTGTTGAGGAATGAAGATGATGAAACATGATGATAACAAGTGTTAATGCAGAGATACACCTAGATACTGAAGAAGAGGATTGAAATTGATGGAGGTTCAAGGTTTGACGATATTGTAGAACGAGAAAATGGAATCAGGGTTGAAGATGAAGATAAGGCTTGAAGGTGAAAACACGATGAAGATTCAAGCCTGAAGATTATGGAAGATAGAGTTGAAGAGAGAATTGAGAGGTGAGTCTTTGAGTTTTCTCTGTGATTTTTTATAAATCATGGAAAAAAATCTTCCCCTATGATTTCTGTTAGAGTTTTGTTATATAGTTTGTTGAATCTGTGAGAGTTGGTTAGAGATTAGAATGAATCTCCACCCTTGATTAAAAAACTGGTTAGAGAAATAGATGGTAGGATTGAGCCTGGTAGGGCTGTTTGAAAATTTGTTAGTAGTTGGTTTTTTTCTGTTAGGAGTTTGTTACAGTTTTTTTGAACTCAAATGAGGCTTAGGATTAGTTAGTTGTTATTGATTCAAATTTTTGTTAATGAACTACTATACACCTTGCCTTGAATAGAGTGTTTGGATTGCAAATTGGTTTGGAAAAGAAAAAAAAAACGCTAGTTGATGGAATTAGGAGTGAGGTTAGCTTAAGTTGTCGTCAACAGAAATTTGTTTTGAAACCTGTTAGCATTAGTTAATAGTTACTGTTAGTTTGAGAATGAATGGGGTTAGGAAATTCTATTTCGAATGTTGCAGTAGGTTTAAATGGTGATGATGGCTATATTTTGATATTTTGAAATGCTTGTGTTCAAACTATTTTGGTTTATTGAAGCTGTTTTTTTTATGCATATTTGTTACAGATGCTTAGCCTGTAATCGAACTGAATTTGTATGCCATGACAAGGTATTGGCTATGTTTGGCACAAGGCAAAAGTTTATGGATAGAGCAAGAAAAGTGGAGATATGTTTTGGAAGCACATTTGGAACTGTTTTGAAGGTTTAGAAACAATTTAGCATGGGTTTTGTAATGGCATTTTGTATGTATCTTGATCATTTGAACGATGGTGATATTAACTTGTAATCAAAGTTGAATGAACTTGTATTGTAGTTTCCTTTTTATGTAATCTTTCAAGAATGTAATGGAATGATGAATCTCTTGTAGCTTGTGAACTTTGAATGAAGCTTGAATGAAGTTTGCTTGGATCATGAATGATGTTTTGAATGTAATCTTGTAATATGTTTTCAATGTAATCTTGTAATGGTGATGAAACTCCATTGATGAAACTCCATATATTCAAAACTTCTTCTTTCACCATGAACTTGAAATCTCGACCTTCTTTGATTTGATCTTCATGTAAGAACTATCAATACCTTTTGCTTTTGTGTTTTGAAATGGCGCTCTGGCCTTGTACGAGAAACTTTGTCTTGCAATTCCTTCTTTTTTGAGCATTTCAACTTGCAATGACTTGAGAATATTAATGAACAAAACTTTCTCTAATTTGCACTTTGAAATTCAAAACATTTTATTTGATTTTGCAATATAGAATAAACCATGAAACTTTGTCTTTGGCAATTTGATAGTGAATTTGGACGATGAAGGGTTTGGATCAATACTTGGATGATACTTGAATTAAGTCTTGAATAAGTCTTGCTATTTGTTTAAAGTGAACAAATCTTACATCTTTAAAATATAAATCCACTTGGCAAATTGCGCCAAAATAGTCACTTGAAAGGAATTTGAATGGAATTGGAATTGGAATGAATAAGAAATGTCTTAAATTTCAAGTAATTCTCCTTTAAAGGAATTCTTACAAAATGGGCTTGAATTTGCATTGACATTGAATGATATTTGAATCATCAACTTTGAATTCCATACAAACCATTATACAAATTCTCTTGAATTAATCTGGACTTAATGACATTTCTTGAACGAGTTTTTAAATCACCTCCAACGAAACCTTATCCGAATCTTCAACTTGATCAAAATTCAAGAAGCAATCCTACCTTGATTCACAGCTTAAGGACCCAGAAGAATCTTGATTTGATGAAATCTTCAATCAACCCTTAATAATTTAACAAATAACACCACAAGAAAGAAGTCCTTGATTCAATCCTCTAGACTTCTTAACAAGAATGTCTAGTGGAGAAAGCACTTAGGAGAAACCCTAATTATTACTCTTTGAAAAATCTTGATGAAGATAATTTTGTATCTTGAGGAATTTTGCCAAGGAAGATGCTCATGCTGCTTGTGATCCAAAATTCTAGTTCCACAATCCAAGAATAATGAATGAACCTGTTGAATCAATCCGAGAAAGGTAGCAACCTCAATTCATCAGGAAAATCCTAACGCCATGGGCTCTTTGATCCCGTAATCATGGAATCGATGATATGCATGAGATGTATAGGATGTGATAAGGGATCTTAGGGAAAAAAATTGGAGTATAACACTAAGAGGTTTAATATTTTTTCTTGCTTGGTTTGAATCCAAAGGATGAGAATTATACATTGACTCTTGATGTCAAGTGTTGACTTCTTATTGGTTAGATAGTTCTTTTCCTTAGCTTTTACCTTATGCTTTAGGATAGTCCATTCATCTCCTCCTATCTTCTTAAATTTCAAAAATCTTCTCTCTCCTTTTCAAAAACTCTTCTTGTTTTCTAATTTGAACTGCTTTCATAATAAACTTGGACTTAAGTCTATGCATTTTCAAAAATCTTTTCTTAATCAAACTTTAAACAATTTAATCATACTTTGACATTTTTTGTGAGAAGACTAAAAGTCAATTAACTTCATTCAAACCATTTTGCCACTTTGTCTTTTTACTTTAAAATTTTTCTCTAAAAGATTAGACTCTTGTTGATTCTTGTAGTGATGCAGGCTACTACACTTCTACGATATATAGTGAAGTGAGACATTTTCCACTTGGATGTTAAGTGAGGCTTTGTTGATTTTAAAATTCAAGCTATATCCTCTACTTTGAGATGATGCAAATTCTTCTTTCTCATAATTGTGGGTAGTAAGTATGTTTTTCACTCGAATATGACGATGATGTCTCTTCTCTTAAAATTAACCAACACATTTGTGTTTTAAAATTTTTGAGGTAAACTACGAGTACTCTGATCCCCTATTTCACAGAAGGTGGTACGTATGCACTAAAGGTTCGCAACTGCGGCAGATGCAAAATTGTAAAAAATACTTTTTTTCTCATCTCCACCATCTATTTTTGTATACACCTTTTATAGCCTAAATACACAAATTTTCAAAGAGGTTTCTGCAGAATACAGTAGATGTTTAGGGTACTAATACATTCCATTTGCATAATCAATCCCGTACCTAGATTCTCTCCCCATTTTTTTAAAGATTTATTCGCTCTTTTCTCATTTCTCTGGAAACAATAAAGCGCAGTGACAATTTTTATTGATTTATGCGAATTAAGTCAATCAAATATCTTAATCTCAATATTTCTACCGCTACAATCCTGTTTAAATACTTTAACAACTTTCTCATTGTTCTCTTAATACAACAACTTGAATTTTCTTCTCAATATTTATAAATGAATTTTCGTGGTTTGTAATCACCAACATAACATTTCTTAAGAATATCCAATGACTCCTTCAGTAACATCGTATTCTCAATTTTCTAAAAGTTGACAATATCAACATATTAATAGATGAAGAAGATCACCTTGAAATCCTTACTCTTCAATTTTTTTTATGAGTAACAACTTGAATCTATAATGTATCATTAGGAGGGTTTTGAAGATATGTTTGCACTATATTTTTTATATCTCAGAACTCAAAGATCACCTTCATTTGTTTGTCCTACCTATCACAATTGTTAAGTGTCAAGAAGAGAGAGTTTTCCACTAAAATTATTTTCATGATTATCCAAAGAACTTGTCATGTTCACTTTGTGAGAAAGTAGAATGAACATTAAATCTTGAATACTTAAGAATCCATGAACTTGACGCTTTAGATACCACTTGCTAGAATTATACACACACATAGACGAGAACGTGAGAAAGCATAAATAATTTGTGTATTATACTTCACATTTACTACACATTTGTTAATGAACCAATAATGATTATTTATATGACACTAATTGAATTTATAAATAATATTCTCTTTCAAACAACTATTGTTTTATTAAATAAATTTTATTTTAACATAATTGTATTTTTCACTTTTCAATATATAATTTTTTTTTTAATTATGACATTTAATTATTACTTTTTACATTTCTTCTAATATATTAATTAAATTAGTTTAATAAAAATAAAATATTTTATCACAACATCATTATATTCTTTAATTAGCATATAAAAACTTTAAACTAACATTTTATTTAAAAACTTTATACAACCTAATCAATCTAATTAATTAATTACTTGGTATAACAAATGACTTAACTAACATTTTATTGACTTGAATTATACACCTCAAACAAAATAATCATTCAAACTAATAAAATCAGGTTTAGTTTGATCTCGAACCAAAAAATAATTAAAATCAATTCAATTAATTTAAATGTATCGAATTTATTAGATTATTGTTTAACTCTACTATACACGAGGTTTTGATTTGAATTCTTTCTGATCCTAGTGCTCATTCTACCTTCATCTCAACTATTTATCTATAGTTTTCTCACACACACTCTCTCTCTCTAACAACTTCTTTACTACTCCTCATATTGTTAGACTACTTGTAATGGGGGTGTTGAATAAAAATTTTAATAGTTGAATTGTTCCAATGGATTGTTGAATGTGACATGAATTAATTTGTGTTGAAAACATTCAACATGTTGAATGAGAAATGAGTGAGGACCACTTATAATACTTTGCAAAATATAATTGGTCGTTGTGATTGTTTATATTTTTATCTCATCTAAATTATTTGGAGTCAATTATTTTATAGAAAATCAAATTTTTATTTATTTTTATTTTCACCAAAATTCATCATTTTTTTTGTCTATAAATAGAGCATTGGTTCATTTGATTTGGACAAAGAAAAAAAATCTATTTCTTCTCTCTAATTTTTCTATTTAGCCTCTAATAAATTATTGTTTGTAGCTCGAAACAATTTTTTAGTGAAATGAATCTCAACAATAACACTCTTAACACCCAAAATTCTACTAATTATTCTTTCAACTACCCAAATCCCAACTATATATTTCAAAATCAATCTTCCAACCAACAAGGTCCCCAAAATATATCAAATTTTATAATGCCATCATCTAATCCAAACTATTGTCCATATTATGGATCTATGATGTCATATTCATCTCAAGCACCACCTTATTATTCTTCTACTCCAATGGAAAATGAAAATGTTCCTAATGTTGGACTTGATAAATTTCCTGATTTTTCTACACAAACGGCTCTTGGTGGCATGAGCGATGGTCATGGAGCCACTCCAAATGCAGAGGATTCAACTCCTGTTCGTCGGAAAAGCCTCAAATGGACCACTGATCAAAATTTGGTTCTAATTAGTGAGTGGATTAAATATGGAACATGCAGTGTTGTTGGGAGAAACCAAAAAAGTGATTCATATTGGGGTAAAATTGCTTATTACTGTAATGAGCATTGCTCATTTGATCCTCCCCGTGATGGAGTTGCATGTAGAAATTATTACAACTACATGAACAAAATACTTAATAAATGGGCAGACGCTTATGATAACGCTAAGCGTATGCAAAAAAAATGGTGGTCGGAGAATGATGTATTGGCAAAAGTGCATGAATTATATTCAAGTGGTAAGAGTGGACATTTCATTTTAATGTTAGAATGGCTCGCTCTCCGTGATCAACCACGTTATGGTAGTCAGGTAGGAGGAAATAGTGGATCTGTAGGTAGTGGATTTAAGAGAGCCCACGAGAGTGATGCAAGTGATTCCAACTCTGTAGAATCTAGTGCCCGTCCAATAGGGAGGGATGCAACAAAAAAAGGTTAAAAAAAAGTAATGGCGCAACCTTGGAATCGGTCAATGAATAGTGGAATGAATTCAAACAATTTAAGGAGAAAGAGTTGGAAAGATTGGACAAAATTGCCCCGAG